ATATATATATATATATATATATATATATATATATATCTATATATTTAAATACTAACGTTCATCGATTTGGGATCTAGCTCGGAATAATGTGTGGGATCCTTTTTCTCAGGCATCGAATCGTCCTGGAAGAAGAAAGCACACATTAGTCAAAGAGAAGTAAAAAGCCTAGAGAAAAAAACTACAAAACAGAAGCAGCCCCTATAACGAAACGAAACCACTCCCTCTTCATTCTTTCTCATCATTCTCTATTTTTTTCAACACTCTCACATTGTAACGATATACACATATCTTCATTCACGATGACCGTCAAATATGACTCAATAACTGCTAGAATCTCATAGTGTCCTGGCTCTGGTGTCTGTGTGATCGGTAGGTTATGGATAATATCAATAATGTTGTAGTATAAAACGATTAAATGAAAACTTTTGAATGATTTTTCAATGTTGGTGAAGGTTTCAGGAAAGGGAATGGCTCAGCTGCGCTCTTCTCCGAGCTAGGCTTGCTTGCTTCTCTTGTTAATGCAATGTGACTGCCATTGGCTAAGGGAGCGATACATTACCCGTCGATCCTTGCTTGCGACATTTAAAAGCGTTTGCATTAAGAGCTCTTGTTAATTTACACATATAACAATAAAATAGCAATCTTAATATAATTATGTATATACAAACTTTGTCTTATTAAAAGTTATACATATACATAATGCTTTAGTTTTGCGATATCATAAATGACTTGTTCCATAAAATAAGAAATTTCATCTTATGGAAGAAATCAAATCTATGTATTTCATTGAAAAAGATCAGAGTTTAACCATCCACTATTAATCCAAGTAAACTTGCATTTTGAAATAATTTTACTGTTGTTTATCGATGAAACATACCCCGTACGTTAACCCAATATACCTAAATTATGATTTTTTTTTTAACCGATGAGTATGATCTGTTACATGAAAAAAATAAAACGAGTTACAATATCCGAGATTAACTTACTGATAGGATCGATGGACAAGTATAGCCTATTGAAAATCCAGTTTAGTAATAGGGAAAAACGGTGGCACGAAAATATATATATGTATATATATATATATAAATATATAATAATATAATAAAAAGTTATAAAAGTAATATGGGATGATGTTGGCAGTGCCTTTTGATCAGCGGCGGCAGCCTCATCAGTTTCATTGGCAGCGTCCAAATCGTCGGGATTAGAGGCAGCACGCAGCAACTTTCGCTCCAGTTGTTTCTTATAGTTGAGTTGTAGCCCGTCCCATTCCAATCTGGTAGGTACACAGCTCCAAACATCTGGGAGAAATAGTATGACGGTTTCAACGCGAGAGGGTACCACTCGCCCGGACTTGTGGGTCGTTTCTGCGCGTCTGTAGTAGAGTTCCAGGAAGCGGTACCTGTGCCGCAAGGAAAAACAATACCCAAACGTCAACTCAGATTAATGCCGCTTAGCGTTGCCTTATATGCTAAGTGTTCGCTCGCTTGTTCGTAAAGCCCACGCACTGCATACAAAGCCACGTACAGCGCACAACGTAGAGACCATTTGAGAGAGAAAGCACAACTCAGGGTCACAATCATATAATAATAGAACAATAGTGATGATTTGTCTGCCGCGACTGCTCGTGTATCGTCGTCGACGGAGGGAGGGTGTGCTCGAAACCGGGATCCAGTGCAGCAATCTCCATCAGTCGTTCATGTTTAGAATAAATACGTACCTCCACTGCAGAGAGATCGAGCTACAATCTTAGTTTATCAAGTCAGAGAACTGATATTAGAAGTTACTGTCTGTCGAGATTGTGGATAGTACACCTGTCAGATATATATCTTAACGTCATATAGTGTTTTATCTTGACTTTTTTTTTTTTAATAACTCGTTTTTATGTCGTGAGAGATAGCTCTAGAAATGTAGTCCTAGACAATTAGGAAAAAAAGAATGGAATTTTTTTTAAATGAAGAGTTCCGTAATTGTGACCTTTGGTTTGTAAAGTAGTATCGACGGAAATACAGAATGTGCAATATTAACGGGCAGAAAAATTTGGTGATATCACATTGCTCTTTGAACGAATCGGGGCTTTAAAAAAAAGCAATCTATGGAAGTGCTTCAGAGATGTACAACGAAAAGTATTTCTACGTGTTAAGACGTACCACTGAGTGCAACTGGACAAATCTATGCCGGTAAGTGCTTTACAGGTCCTCACAGCCGTTCTAATTAATACAGACGGATCTTTTTCAGGATTAGGACCGTCTAACGAAGGACTCCATGGCCCACCTATGGCCATTGTCTCATTTTTGCCTCGTAAGCCTACTAAGAAATTTATAAGGCGTGTAGGGTGAACGTAATCACGATCGGGATCTCTGTCTTCAGAAACACCACAACATCTTTTGTATATCTCTTCCATGGCGGGCATGGATATGAGCATGACCTAAAAATAATCGAGAAAAATTTAATACATAAAATTAATTTGGTATGCGAATATTGTTTGTATTCCGATTTCTATCTCGTTACATATATCTGCGCGTTTCTACAAAATCTCGCTTGTATTTTATCATATAATGATAACCGTGACACAACTTCTTGACAGACCTTCGCAGAAAACAGATAATCAGCATCCGATGGTTCTAGTACTGCTGTATTTTCATTACACGGATCGACGTCTTTATGCATAACATGGAAGGAGCACGGCTTATTAAGAGTAAATGGCATATGCGGTGGGAAAGCATCGACCCATCTGAAGTTAGTGGAAAAGAAGTCGCTAGGAATGTACATATTTTGATAGCGTCTTCTTATTTCAAGAACATCTGCTTCAGGCCTGTGATAATAAGAAGCAATAAAATTCCGCCAATGGTGTGCATGTTTGTAAAATAGATAAATTGCACTTACAAATCAAGTGCAATTTTCGGTATTTGCACCATGTAACGCGGCACGACTCGCGTACGCCGGCGTGGTCTTGGCGATTTGCTTCTCCTAGTCCTCGACGGGCTTCGATCTTCTTTCTTCTCGCGTTCTCTTATTCTCTCTTCGCGACGTCTTTTTCTTTCTATTTCCTCGTCGTCATTTCTCCGTTCACGAGGAGATCTTTCTCGTACTCTACTAACTTTGTTTCGGTTGCTGGTAGAATTGGAATTTGTTGTACTTGATGTAAACCTACTACAATACAATTTTTTTACATTGATAAAATATTCGGAATATTTATTGAAACTTGGATTTAAACATTGAGTACTTAAATACTGTTTTAAAGATTTCCAAATTTTTAATATTATAAATAGCTATCAAATTTAAATCATTTGATAACAGCTACAGTTCAGTAGAAAAAAACAGTTGTGTTATAAGATCTTTTAATATTATTAATTCTTGTACTTAGTTCTTCAATGAATTTTAATATATAACCAATCACATTAAAGTATCTAATAGTCGCAAAGTTGCTTTTTTCTGCTAAACATATTAATATTAAAGATATTAGTATTAAAGATTGATTCAAATATTTGATTAAAAATCAAACAGCACTATTTTGTATCGCAGAAATGTGGATAACATAATAATATAAAGTAATAGTATATATTATAGATAACGTAATAATATAGTTAATTATTCAAGAATTATGTACATATTTTTCCACCTGTTATTAGGATTTTCTGTGGGAGGAGGTACAGCATTATAAGTGCCTGATGTCCTATTTGGCTGTTGTTGTTGCTGCTGTTGCTGACGGTTTGGCTGATTAGTTTGCTGAGTGTTTGCATTGTTGCTATTATTACCCATGGGCAGCACTTGTATTCTAGTGGCATTCCATTTAAACGGCATTGAAGGATTGTATGACGCTTCTACAAGCACACGATCTCCTACAACGGGATTAGATCCCTTTACGCACGCACTAAAATAGAGAGAAAAAGAGATTCAGTAGAATATGCAAAGTAAAAGCATAACCATTTTTTCTTATGTTAGTATTTTTTAATTATTTATAACTCTTGGGTCGGTCGTTTTTAAAACAAAATATTTTTCTTTTTAGTTAACTTAGTAATTTAATGACCAAGATTAACTCGGACATCACCACCGTTTTCTCGCTTTTTATGTTATTAGTTTATACTCTTATGCGCTACCATTATGTAATTTTGTTAATATATCTTTTGTACTGAAGAGGACCTTGACTGTAGGTCGAAACGTATACGTTTAATATTCACTTTGAATAAATGATATTAAAATACAAACTAATAATCAATGTGCTCAAATTGGTATTTGATTTATTATTTTTTAGAATTTTCTTTAGAGCCTATTGATTTTATTGTTTATAACATTGATGTTATGTTATTTTTAGTTGACGTCCACTAGATTACTGTGTGTGCCTGTGATTTTCATTGTGTTTCAGGTTTGAGAAAACTGTATTTCTTTTTACCTAATTTACTTACCTAGTTTGAAAAAATACATCTTCGTCTACAAAACCAAAGTTATCATGTACTTTAGTAACAGTACCCGTGAAAACCCTCTGTTTTGTCGATGACGAAGGTACGTTCTGTTGTACCTGTTGTGGAACACCTGCTACAGAAGGTTGGAAAGCATTTGTGTTTAATGCCCGTGGCGTTGGATATGAAACTGTAGCGACTTGAGGATATAATTGTCCTGCTATACCCGATGGTAAATTCGAGCCGAGAGTTGCCATGGATGCCATGGTGATGTTGGGCTACGCAGAATCATTTAAATAATTAATCTGATACTGAATACATAAAAATGTTAATCCATATCTTACTTGCTGCAATCCTAAACTCTGTTGGTAGACTTGTTGGGTTTGCTGTTGATACTGCACCATAGGCTGTCCTCCAATACTGCCCATGGCTTGGCCCAACATTTGTTGTTGGATATTTTGTATACCTTGTCCTTTCAAGAAAACATAAAAAATAATTATATATTTTAAATTTTTTATCACAGTTTACACGTCACAGTTTAAATTGATATATTTTCAAATCTTTTACATATCTATGTATTCTCTACCACATAATGCAAAGGAAAAGATATCATTTCAGAAAATTGTTTTATTTTAGTAATAATGTGTTTTTATATAACATAGATTGTTTCAGCAATATTACAGTAATATTGCAAATGTTGCAGCAATAGATCCATTCATGTTGTTTACACTTTTCGCATACAGAATTTTTGCTTTCTCTTTCTTCAACGCGAGAATATATATTTATTTTGTTTTAAGTAAATAAATTTTTGGGTATTTTAAGCAAACCTAATGTTGCTGCAAGCTTATGTGACATACAAGTTGCTCCGGATATTATTAATTTTACTTAAGGATAAAAGTATTTTTTTTTTATTCCTGCAGTGAAACTTTCCTTCTTACTTTTATCAAATATCAAATAAATATACCTATAGATTACTTTAAGTTCCAAAAGTATAAACTAATTTAATTATAGAAAACACACAGATAAAGTTTTTCATGAGAAGTAATCAACAGCAAAGAGAAAGAATAATAGAAAGAGAAGAAGACAACTAAACGCTAACTAACAGTAACATCAGCAATTATCATTTCATATTCAGTAATGTAACAGTTATATTACATGTGTCACATTACGTTTATTTTTTATTTTTATTGTCCAGTGTGAAATTCTAACGCGATGTTATGTTATTGTTAGTTGGTGTTTACTGCGAACTATTCCTCTGGAGCACTGTTTTACTGGCAGCGAGCAGTTTGGAGGTCATCGAATGGTCGAGGGCAACTCTCGTACTGCAGAATGGAACCTAATGCAACCGATAGCGCGGATCAGACTTGCGTAACAAGCGCGCGACCTCGCGCGGTTGAATGTACGGTCGCGAGGCAGAGCCAACGATAAAGGATTTTGGCAGCTTTCCGTCATGTTGCACACGAGACGACGACGAGGGTGATACACGGAGACCTCGTTCGTGTTCGTCTCGCAATAGGAAAAACACGCGTCAAAAAATCGCTCACCTGCATTGCGGACCCAAGGTGGATTCTTGCCACCGCCAAACGGCGACAGATTACTCATTCTACGTATGGACGGACCGACTTCGTCGGACCGGCTGTGCGAATATGTGCGGAACGCGACAGATCTGGCAGGCACTCACGTTCAGCGTCCTTCATTCGGGCGCCATATTTCCGGAATGTACTAGCCTACTACACTATTACTGCGCATGCGCGAATCGTTGCAGCGGCGTCCCGCGGCCGACCGGAAGCGCCGCGCTCCGATCGCCACTCCCGTAATCGCCGGTCTCTTCGAAACACACTTAATTCGCGCGTATCAATTTTTAAATTGTTTGGAAATTCAGACAAGAGCCTTTAAGAAGAAGAAAAAGACGACGCTTTAAGAGAAATTCTCATTTGGAAGGCTAAAAGATTATATGAATTTGTTAAAAAGAGAAAGGTTAGTATATTAATATAAAACTTTCATAAGACTTTTTATTTACATAGAAAAAAAAGGTATGCAAGACTTATTAAAAACGTCGTTTTGACATAATTCTGTTCGTTCAAGTAGCCTAGAATAAAAAATTATTAAATTGTAACAGTTATATTATTACTGAGATCATGCATTTAATTTATGATTATTCTATTTTATTATATAAAAAGAAAAACGATTTTAATTTTAATCCATTTCGTTCTGATTGGTTGAAATTTGATCTTTAATTTGTAGTCCTCAATCTCCAATGTGTAGTGTGACACAGACTTTAGGGTGTATCCTCACGACAGTCGAAAATTTCGGATTCGCGTGCAAAAGTAATGTAGTAGAGATCGACTGATCAAAATCATTTAAATTTAGCGCGTTTGTATAATTTTTCATGGAATCTCAGGGATACGGAAAGTAATGGAATTACTCAATTGAGAACTGAGTGGTGTTGCGACGCGTTTAATTAGTACAGGTGTATTGAGTCATATCTTAATCGTTAATTGTGCAATATAAATTTAATGTTTACTCGTTGATAATCCGCTCTAAGTTCACATTTCGGATTAATTGAAATTAGTGTCAACAAAGCAATTCGGCTGCGTTTTTTCGGATATAAGGTAAAGGTGCCTAAATATTATGAAATACTTTTTTTTTAAAAGCTTGTAATTTATTTAATTTTCTTAACTCTTATTTTTATGTTAACCCTTCGTTGACATACCTCTTTTTTCGATCGTTTTTTGACACACTGGGTGGCTCACACCCAAGTAATGTTTAAACAACTGACATTCTTATTTAAAAAATCCAATCAATATGAAAAACATTAGGGGTCAATTTCAAGGCCTGTCGAATACATTCAAATAGTTTCTGATTGAAATTTCATTACAGTTTTTGTGAAAAAAATTCTTGAGTGAAAAAATTCATAGAGTGAACTCTGTCGTTGAATTCAATAGAGAAAAAACAAGTAAAATCTTTGAAAAATTGTAACTTTAAAAAAATTTAATATTAAAAAAGTTAAATATTAAAAAGTTAAAAATTTACAGAATTGTTGTTCAGATATGATACTTGAAAAAAAATTAGTTTGCAAGTTGGTTTTGGATGAAGGGTATTTATTTTGCATATTGAATGTAGGCTATTTTGGGAATTGAAAAAACAAAGACTTTTTTATAAATATTGAATTTTTGTTCTACAAAAGAAAATTGAGTTTCAGAGAGTTAAAATAACTTTATGGATGGTTCACACCCAGTATGTCAACGAAGGATTAAATTTATGAAATATATTCAAGGGAAAAATCTAATCGCCAAAAGTTTGCAATTGATAATACCTACACTTACTTGCAGTACGTGAAAGTTTTTATCAAAATTATCGATTTTTGCTAATTCAAAAGGGTATGCGACATAAGGGTTTCCTTATATGAAACGGTATCTCATAATAGCAAATAAAAGGAAGAAATATTTTGGCGTAATTATATGTACTGACCTATGAGTATAGGTGCAGCCAAAATCTCACTATTAATGCTTTGAAACATTTGCTCAATTAGAAAAATTTTACGAATTGGCCTTTGAAATGAAAGAATACTTCAAAATATTTGTGCATAAAGCTGGTTCTACATTAGTCGCTTCACAGCATCACAAGCGCATTACAAGCGTTGCGGTCCAATCGAGCTGTAAACACACACACACACACACACACACGCACACGCACGCACGCACACGCGCACGTGCGTGCGTGTGTGTGTGTGTGTGTGTGTGTAAATGCACATACATTATCGCATAATTATTCAAATGACAGATGTTAAAGCTAATAAATATTCCATATTGTGATTAATACAGATAATTCTTAATTAGAATAATTGACACTGTTGTGTTGTATTGATTATAATTGTATTTTAAATTTAAATTATTGAAACATTCATATCGAATTGTCTTTAAATTATTCTTGAATCTATATTATATTAATACAGTTCAAAAAGTTCTTTCACCTGATCATCTTTAAAAAATGATTCAGAAACAACAATTATTAATAATTATTTTTTGGATTCAGAATTTTTTTGACGAACCAATATAATATTGATTCAAATATAATTGATAAGAGTTCGTGAATGTTATCTGAATAATTTAAATTTAAAGTATACAATTTTGTAATCAATATACAACAAAAACAGTGTCTCTTATTCTAATAAAATATCATCTGTGTTACCAACAGTATGAAACACTTACTTATCTTTTAAAATCGGAGTAAAATATAAAATATCTGTTAATCGAATAATTCTGACTGGTATAAGTGTATGTATTGTTTTAAAAAAAAAAACGTTCTTTTTCAAAAAAAACTTTATGTAACAAATTTACTTTTAGATTGGGCAAATTTCGCATTGTGTGCCTGTCATTAACTTCCTTGCAGTATTCGAGTACGCCGAGTTTCTTTCATTTCAATCGTTTTATTGTTCTCTCGTAATTTTCCCCAATTATGTACAAAAATATAATGAGAATCATTACAGAGCTTGTAACGTTTAGGTACATGATGCGATACGCTCTTTCATTGTCGTAGTTTCTCACTTTTGGTAGATCTGGTAGATCTTTCGAGTGCGCCTCGATCAAAACATGAATGTGAAACGTGATAGCTTATTATACGCGCAAATCGCTCGTTTCTATGTACATGTGAAGATACCGCACTTTATTATTCAGCATTATGCCCTAAAATTCTATGAAGATCTTTGCATTTTACATTTCGTTAACCAAACAATTATTTTAGAAAAACAGAGATGCAAACATGTTTTAATATTTTAAGAATAAAATAATTTAAATTTAAAAAGAAATAAAATATGACGTATATACGGTTCTTTTATTTCATACAAATTTCCGTAATTGTTTCGTATGAACGTTGCTGGAAATATAAAAAGAATGAGACCTAGTAATTACTCTGTCATAAATAATAATAATTCCTTTTAATAAATAATTAGGTTTATGAAAGATTAAAGCTACATCACGAAATTGCAGTTAACTATAGCTCGATCTGGTTTCTTGTTAGAAAAATATTGTGGTCAGTGCGTGAGTAAAAGTGACTCGCTTAAGTTAATAAAGTACAATCAAAGTACAAAATGTGTAGTAGCAACGATATTCTAGGAAAAGTATTGCATCTATTAGGAAAAAAAATCGAAAGATTTTCTTGGTCTCCTTAAAAGTTTTTATAATCTATTTATCAGTTATTCAAAGAGATGCAAGTCAAATTTTTTGTACAATCTTTCGACTATTCTGTGTTTTGTTAAACAATATGATACTTCACTGACACACATTTCAGAGTCTTAGTGAGATTTATTATTCTCGCTAAAAATTAAAAATTATCTATGAAGATACCCATAAAAAAAAGTTATAATTTACACTTCATCGTCTATCTTGTCAAATTTCCTTTCTTCTTAAACGTATTAATTAGTACTGTTATACCACAATATCACAACTTAAACAAGATTAACAATAAGATAATGTAACACAATATATCCAACTACCATCTAAAGTTTAACTAGTTAGGAAGTAACTTTACTTTTTATCGCATTATATTGTACGTAAGATAAAAAAAATTGCATAAAGCTCTTGAAACACTTGAGAGAATTCGCTAAATACTTCTCTTAGTTTAAGTTTCCGCTTTTAATTCATGTCTTATGAAATTTCGTGCACGCTCTTATTCAATTACGGCAGTTCTTCAGATTATGCGTATGCGTTGTCATTCATATTTCGTTATAAGACACGAGAATGTCCTCTATTACACTTATGCTTAATCGGAGCGACAAAGCGAAGCTTCGATAAATGAATAGTGAATGATTAAATTGAAAGATGAAAAATCGATGACTGAAACATCAATTCCGAAGTGCACTGTAATAATTCGGAAACACAGGGAACGCGTTTATGTAGAGATAAATTAATTCTATATATAATAATCTAAGGAAATATACATATTCTCGTCGTCTAACATGTTTATAATTCAAATCTGCTTATCCAAGTTACATTTTATATGCTTTTCTGAATATAATCAAAAATCATTGCATTTTTGGATAAAGCAGAATTGGAACGTTTTACAAACTCATTGTAAGCATAAATAAAAAAAAATTGTGAACGATTTTCGGTGATTATGTTTGTTTCTGATTGTTTTGCGAACAATCGTCATCAAATGTATGTACTTTCATGAGGAAGCTCATTATGACGAACACGATGTTAAGATTATAATTCTCTTACTCTCGTTCGTTAGAGCTATCTTATATGCCTGTAAAAATAGCCGAGGTTGAATTTATTACAATCGAGAGAAACATTTTATTATCAGAGAATTTTATTATGGATCACCATAAATAATATATTCATAAAAATAGGAAGTGTGTACAAATATATTAATTTTATAGTGCGACTATTACGATCTCTAAACATTTGCCCTTCCCCTCAAATATATTATTCGCGTGTGTGTATACATATCTTGAGACACATTCGTTCGACTCTTCGACCGCGTGATCAAACTTACGGATCACATGTAAAAGAGGCCTATTACTCATAAAAGTACTTGCTCTCTTTCTCGAAGCTTGATTCTACGACACTAGAGTGTGATTTTCACGACATGAACGTCATATGCCTTTTCTGATCGATTAAAGCGTGTTGCGTCATGTACGATAATAACAAGCCGCAGTACAGCTTACATTGCCGTTCGAATTTAAAATAAAGCAATCAAAGCAACAAATAAACTCTTTTCGGCAGCTTACTATAGACATCATCGTACCATTAGTAGTAGAATCAAGCCACGTGGTGAATTATATATGTAAAAAATCGTGGTATAAGCCGATGAGGTTGGCACATATTACTAATAATTCGTAAAGTTTCCATAAAGTTATGAAAAGACAAGCGATAGAAAGTAAAAATTAATTGATATAAATAAGCGGTAAAAAATAGAAATTGTCAACAAAATAAACAAGTTATCATTGATAAATTATTTCAACAATATAGGACAATATAAATAAAATACATATTATATTATAAGTAAAGTAAATTTGGGAATTTAAAATAAAAAGTTTATTTAAATTTTTTAATTAATTTTTTAAATTAAAATAAAAAAAGGCACAAATTTAATATAATAAATCGTAATGTTTGAAAAGATTACGATTAAATTATAACAAGATGACATAATTATCTTGAGGAAACTCAACAGTTATTTGGAAAAAAAAATATGAAGCATTTTTAAACTACTTATTGATAATTTTTACGAATCATTAACTTATATTGCCAATATAATTATACAGCCAACTTTGTTATACGATATTTTGGGCGAATTGATTTGTACGTTAATTTGTAAGAACACCGGAGTTTTGAACACAGTCGGGGCTAGAAAGAGACAGAGATTGGGTTGTTTAATCTTTTGATAAATCTCATCTTAGTCGTTCTTTCGTTCTTTTTTATTTCTTAAATTATCACATAGTTTATCCGAAGATGAAACAACCGGATCGGCAGAGTCGATAATGATGGTATGAGGGAGGGGGGAGGGGAGTTTAGTTCCAGCAATGTGTCTCAACAAGAGATGCTTTGAAAAGTTACGTACGACTAAGAAACATCCACATTCGTATTCAATACGTACACAACCAGTACAAAAAAAATTGCACGCACAGCGAATGTCGTTCTTTCCAGTATAGTTATCAACGATGAATACTCTATAATTCTTCGTCATGTTGTGTGCGTATTAACGTTACCCAGCTTACAGCTTATTTTCACATTTCGTCGAATGTGATCTCATTTCTAATTAGCTTTGTCAAACTAGTCGTAATTTAAAGATTTTATAAACCGCAGTTTCCATATAACGCCAAACACGGAAATCGCAAAAGTAGTTTTTTAGTTTTTTTTCCTTCTAATATTCTTATCTGTACTCTTAACGATTTCCAATAATATTAATAATATTCTATTTTCGTATGGCAGATAAATTATTAATTTAAAGACCACGCCATATCTCACAGAGACCCGAAAATGAAGATTCACAATAATTTTTTTCCTCGGCGATTAGTTGTATCGCATTTATTTTTTCTTCTTTCTCTTCCTATTAGTTTTAACGTCGATAGTAACAGCCCTGTCGTCGATGATACTATGTTAGTGAACACAACTACTGCTCTGCTAACAACGCAGAATAACGAGATGTCTCGCTTTATAATACGTGCCAGTTCTTCCGTCTGAGATCTTGTCTCGTTGTCTTCCATACCACGTGCGTGTAATTTGGCTTTTTATTCTCATGTCTAAGATTATAGACATGCTGCAAAGTGATCTTTCACGATAGAATGGTAATTGTAGGTATAATAAGACGAGCAGCTGACCAGCACATAAAAAAAATGTTCGAGCTTCCCACGTGTCCTAAGCGAGTTTTTTCTCCGTGACGTTATTATTGGCAACGTAACCGTTGTTTGTGCCGTTGCTGTAACAGCTGTTGTACTCCTTGTTGTAGATTGTAGTGTACGAGGACACACCGTTGTGCGTCGCGCTATCGTTATCGTCCAAAACCGGCATGCAAGCTCCACCGGAAATACCGTTTTGCATCTTCTTCACGGAGTTTTTCCTTGAGTCGTACGTATATTTCGTCTTGTAGAAATCCGAGAACAACCCGAAGAATAGGATACCGTGCAAGCCGATCCAGATCATGAAACCTCGCGGATAGTTGCACTCGATGAAGAACAATTGGAATTGATGGAACATGATCATCACAAATTGTATCTGAAATCAAAAGAAATTATCAGGTAAGTAATAATAAAAGCGATAATAAAAAATTCTATGGCATATAAAATGTGCGAAGAATCGCTATGGTTTGAAATATATCGATGTATTTTAAAGGCTAGAGAAACCAGTAATATACTGACAGATGGGTAGGATTATAGAGTGAATGAAATTTCAAATTGAGAACTCGGTCAGTGATTCATCTTATAATCCGCTTTGTCTATTTCATTTATTTAATTAATTCAACTGGACATGAAAAACGGTCGTTTTTATAATTAAGAGTTACCTACACATCTTTTACAAGTATGAATTTATATCTAAAATTATTTTTTTTGGTTCCTCTATTATTGCATTCAAAAAGTATAAAATAAGTATTACAATGTCATCTCTAAAAAATGGAATATATTTTTAAAATAGTAAATAATAGTAATATAAAATGATTGTCGACAAAATATAATGCGAAATATAACGAATAGAACGCTATTTGCAAAGAGTACATCGCATAAAATGGTATAATAGACAATTGTCTTCTAAATTCGTAATAACGCGAGATAACGTTGAGCTTACCATTTGCATAGTAGTGAGGTACTTTTTCCACCAGATGTACTTCTGGAATTGCGGTCCCATCGCGGCTACCATGTAATAGAAATACATCACAATGTGTACGAAGGTGTTTAGAAGGGCAAAAAACGTGCTGTGGCCGCCCGGTGCAAATTTCACTCCCATCCATACAGAAAAGGGCATTACTCCGTGATGAATTACATGAAGCGTTGAAACATGTTGGTTCTTTTTCCTTAGAATAAAGAACAGCTAAAAAATATGCAAATTTTCGGTTCTTCTATTCATCTTTCTTGGTATTTCGATAATTTGCTTAAAATATTTCCCCAACAAATTATTTTGCTAATTTTTTAAAAATATAATAAATGCTGATTCGAGTTTATATATAAGGAATTCTTTATTTTTATAAAATATTTACAGATATAAAACATTCACAAATAGAAAAAAAGGAATATAATGAGTGGCAAATTGGGAAGTTCCAATATATCTTTAAAAAAATAAAACAATAGATATAAAAAAAGACCCAATTATTTTTTCCATTATTCAAAGATTCTTAAAGACAAGGATTTCAAACTCGAAGATACTTATCGAAATTTATGTTGAAATTATAAATGAATTTATCGAACGGAACTTTCGTATTTTAACATCTGTTCTACTCTATCCTACTCGACGAGTCAAGTGAAAATCGATACTCACCGTATCAAAGAACTCAGTAAATTTGCTAAAATAGTACCACCAGCAGGTTCTTGCCATTCTGAGGCCCATCGGGCTGGACGAATAATCCACCGGTTGGCAATTGATACTGTAACCTTTCGCCCAACCACTCATAAGATACTGAAACAATAATGTTCAAATCATTTGATTACAATGTTTACATACATTTTATTAATTATAATAATAACCATTTTTCATGTCATGCGAGTTCTTAATATGATCATTAGATGTGTGTTATGCAAGAGGATATCCTGTTGTGTGTGTTTTTGTTGGAGAACTCAAATCAATTATAATCACACTTAGAACTACAATTAAAATCATATTTCACTTTGCTAACAAATTATGCAACAGAAACTAATAAAAAGACATACAAATTTTTATTTTCTAAACTTTCAATTTTTACGTAATAAAAAAAAATCATGTTTCGTTTTTTAAAATAGGACAAAATTTAAATATGACACAAACAATATTTACAAATTTATGCAATATTACAATTTTTGTATGAATCTTAAAATTGTGAAATTTTTAAATCAAGTGAGCTGGAAAAGTATTTTGGGCGATTATTTGTCATCCAAATTTTGTATATTTCAATATTTTTTTAAATCGTGTTTAAAAATGTTTAAAAGAAACACGAACGAGCATGTATACATTTCCGAATGAAAATTACATTCCTGAATGTAATTTTTTAAATAGCAGTTTATTTAGCAGAATTTTATTGAATTTAAGAATAAATTCGTATGGTTGAAAGGCGTCGGGCATATACGAGATCGTTGTAAGTGTGGAATTAATTCGCTAAATGGCTTTAATTATACTGAGGAGTTGCAATACCGTTATAATCTGTTGCGCGTCGAAAAGACGATCATTATGTTTGCGGAGTAAATTAGTTTTACACGCCCTATTCTCATTTATAACTATCTTTAGTCTTTTTGAATTACGTAATTAGCAGATCGTAATCCTTTTGTTAATCGTGATTTGTAAAAGATTGAATAAATTAAATAATCATAATATACAGAACACTCGGGAAAAAAACATTCGAATAAAAAGATTGCACACGAATGTTAGATTTCTTTACTGCTAGTATCTTTTTATGTTCCATTTATTATGTTCCAAAATAAATATTTACTTTTTTTATTATCAGCAATTCGAAATTGATAATAAACGTACAAGTAATAAATTACATTTAATATATGTACATTAACAACAGTATATAATAGAAATATACTGCATAAGTGACAAATTAAACGCAATAAATAAAATGACATAATGATTTTAAAAGATATATTTATATAAATAAATATTGACTACATAAATAAATAGTGATGTTTCCCTTTTAACTAAATAAATGTTTCCCTTTTAATTAAGATTTAAGATTACCATAAATTTCATTAACTTATAATAATTTGTTAACTTTTTTGTGCTATACATATGTTATTTAGAAAAGAAAAACAGTTACAAAGATTAAAAAGATCATTAATTTATTATCTTTTTATTGATTTCTTTTTCCATATTTATTTATTAATTATTCCATATTATTTATTAATAGAGTGAAGTGCAATTTGTTTGTAATTTATAGTTTCGCAGTATATTCTCTCACAGCATGACACATGTATAATGACTACTATGTTATAACCAAGTTATGCACATGATTACAATCGGCATTAAATGATAATCTTCGCAAAACTATAAATTTTTTTATCGATTCAACTGGCACTTGTTGTTCGATCGTTGCATATTGCTATAAAAAATATTGTAAAAAATACTTAAGATTTAAAGATTAATGATAGCCATTAATTTTGCACTGTCAAATATATACTAAAAACGACAAGAAACGCAATATTAACGTTTGAGCGATGCAAAAATTAATTTATAGTTTATTGATAAAACTCATTGATATAAAAAGTTATATATATAGCTAATAAAAATGTGCACAAATTTAACAGTTTAACATCCTTCAATTTCTTGAATGTTTTATTGTTATTAACAAAATTGCTTATTCATACAAAATATCTCAAGAAAAAGTTCAATGTTAAATGGAGGTTAATAAAATCCTAATAGTATGCCCAAATAAAGTAATTATTTTAATTCATCGTATATAAAACTTAAATTAAGTGAATTAATATCATAAAATATGTGTCCAAGTATTTCATTTAAATTCAACGAAGTTCTATATATTAGAATCTAAAAAAAACTATGCTACTCATTTCGATAAATCTACAAACGTCATGAATAAATTAAGGAATCTATTAGCATAATCGATCATCAGATGCATCAAGATGATCGAGGAAGTTTAACAGTAACTTTCGGTTGAATGATGAATATAATTGATATTTAACCTTTAGAACAATCAATTTTTAAATGAAAGAACTTCTTTTTCAACATCGTTTACAAGGTGCTGATTCACATTCTAAATTATGTCACAATCATAAATATTTATAATTGTGTCATGATTCGAATTTGGGCACTTAATTTTAAATTAATTCTAGAAAGACCTCATAATGAAAATTTACAAAAATTCAAATATTATATTAGGAAAAATTTTACGATAAATTTAATTAGAAAATTGTAAGAGAATTTAAAGGCAGTTTGTAAGTTATATAAAACATTAAATTTGATTGAAAAATTCAAGATATAAAATAAATTAATAAATTGTATCAATTTACATAAAGTAATTTACATAAAGTAAAGAGAATTATACAAAATTGACAAAGGAAAAAGTAAGAATGTTTTTTCACATTATTTCGAGAAAATAAAAAATATAAAATATAAAAAAATCTTATCCAATATTCTATTGTCTGATATTTAAAAAAAATATATCTACTTAAAAAAACCATGAGAAAATATATATTTTATAAATATATTATAAAGTAAATAATTCTCATGAAAATAATATTATAGAATCCAGATTTACGCAGATTTCTTTTTTCTTTTTTTTAAATTTATATAAATGCAAGTGAATTATGTATTTGCGCTGTTTCGTAATTATTATATAATGCATGTGTGGACTTATAGCTTTGGCCGAAAGTATTAAGCATCTATACTTTTTTTATTTATCTGAAATTTTAATCTGCATTACTTATTGATTACTAGCGTTATATATAAATTTATAAATTGTTTCTCAAAACAGAGGATAATTCGCAGCAAATTAATTTTTTAGCTAAAACATTAAATTTTCGTACATAAGATATCTTTTTTTAATATTTTTCATACAAAAAAAAATAAAAACGTTTTAAATATTTTTGTAGCCTATCTCTTTTCCAGTGTGATGAGATTTTGATTATTTTCGCGTGGCATCGATAACGTGCTTGCGTGTATAACTGTATCATGATATGTGTATGCAATATTAACTACGC